GTGGAACTGAAAGTTCCTTGTTGCCTGTGCAAACTATGTGACATCTAGTCACGAAAGAGATAGAGCAAACTAAATAAGCTTAAAGAGCCAGAATTAGAACAAAAAAACAGCAAAGGAAAACCATGCTAAAAATATCTGCTTGTCTCATACACATACCATGCCCAAAAGCTTTTCTACAATTTCATCCTTATGTGTCGTTATCTGATGAACCAGGTTTTCTCGCTCGCTTTTCATACCATTTTCCTGTTTTCCTATCTTTTTAGCGCTTTCGCCAAATCCCAACTTCTTTCTCCAACTTGATTTTTCTAACAGTTCATAAATAAGTGTGGAATTCTTGTCCAGTTGTTGTTCAAACGCAACACGATATGCATCAGCAGTGAGAAGAGCTTCTTCTTCACGTCGATGAGCAACTTCAAGCTAAAAGAATAAAAAAGAACAAAATGGTTTCATCACTAACAACTGAAAGTCAAAAAATTAAAAAAAGTCAAAAAATTGCATCCTCTTGCTGCTAATTCATATGAAATACTCCAGCAGTGCACAGAGATTAAAAAGAAAACAGTGTTAAATGAATAAATGAATGAATACATAAATGAATAATAAGTAAACTAATAATCAAATAAAATAATATTTAGGAACTATTCTGACTTAGAGAGGAGCTATAATCTTAGTTTTCAGATCAAATTGAAATTTTGCAATGTTGGTCCTGTCGTTACTTTAATTAGATACAGCATCATACATGTACACAGTTGAAGTTCTCATCAAGTTCAATAATTGAATCTATTTCACTGCTACATTATCTGCGTCTTTGATGCTAGAAGAATTAACATTTGATGTCTGCAGACAGGTTAACAACCCACCTTCACACGTTCGTTTGATTCAAAAGAAATTGTTACTTTCCCTTTAAAGTAGTACAGATGCATTATCATCACATAATTACCTCATGCTTGAGTTTTGCAATGTCCCTTTTAGCATCCACTGCAGCCCTTGCACATGCACATGGTTCCTGGTTTTTGCCCCTGCACTGACAGGCACCAAGGGTTGCTAACTGTGTTTAATCACAAAGATAACAAAATCTGCAGTGAGGGGGTTCCAATTTTACCTGCAGAACCTTAAGGTATTGGCACATCTTATCCTGATCAATATTTTATCAAGCATTGAAAGTGCGAAAATAAGTAAACAATAACTAAATGTTAATGGATTGATTGTACACAGCAGGTAAGTGGACTGTCATAACATATTTTTCCATTTCCCACAATCTGTTCCTTTGACCCAACATACATATTTCTACCTTTTAATCAATATTACTGCTAAAAAATCCTTGCCTTCATACATGCACTTTTGTAAATATATATGTATGTACACATACAGCAGTGCTTGTTAAGGAGGCTACAATGAGTGACAAAAGTAGTTGAGACACTTTTTGAAAATGATGCTTTTCGATATTTTAAGCCCTTAGCATTAATTCTCTGATACCCACGGCCCCCCAGTTCAGTGTTGTGCAAGCACTGTGGTCTGTGCAGTCCTAGAAATAGAAAAATGAACATTGTTTTGGGAGGGAGGGGGCTGGGGAACTGTTTCTCATATGCTTGTCTTAGAAACACATTGTGTCTCAACACTTTTATCGCTCATTGTAGATACTAACTAACAGTTCTAACGTTAAATTACTTACCTCAATAATGAGATCTCCAGTTGACAAGATTTCTTCCCTCTCAGGAGTGCTCAGGTCATATTTGATCCTGTCTCGAACTTCCAGTGCAGCTGCTAACTCATCACGATCACGCATGAGTGCTGAAAAAGATTTGGAAATGAACTCCTTTAATCTGGTGATGAAACGGCATTTCAGCATTGCCTTTGCTTGAATTTTTACGACATTTACCATTATGCCTACAACCCTTTAATGACATGTCACTCACTCATTTTCTCCGTGGCAACCTTTCTCAGTTCCTCAGATCTTGATTGAAGTGCAACCATAAGAGCAGCATTTTCTGTGGCCACTCTGTCAAACCTCTCAGCCCAGGTTTGTTCACTGTCCAGCAGGTAACTTTGCTTCAGCTCAAGTTCCCACTGGAGGAAATTCACCTCCTAAATAACATTGAGTAAAAAAATGCAGCAGTTTAAAACAAGTAGTACTTCAAACAAAACCCCAGCAATGTACTGATTAATTTATCAACTGCAGACTGTGTTATCATATAAACCACTTTCATTAACCCTCAAAATTGCCCACCCTCTTGCCTCTACTCATCCCCCTCCACATAGTGAACGAGAGCCCCCTTAAATTCAAGAGACATTTATGTGACTGCTATGGTATTGTCATGCAGGTGGACTTGAGAAGTTGGTTAGCAGCTCTCAAGATGCTCATGAACTAGTCTCTTCATTGGGTGAAGTGGCCAGCAGGTTAAATGCACTTTAATCACAATGAGATGGGAATGAGATGCTAGACTGTAGCAGGGTACCACCCCTCTACCCCTCTACACCCTGGCGCATTTGCAGATTGCCCCAAGTAACTATTTCCACTCCATTCAGTTTGTGGAGCCAGGCACTGTGAGAGCTAAGTCTTAGCCAAGAACACAAGACAGTGAGCCAAGCCAGGATAGTAAAGATAAGGCCACTAGTCTATGCCTTCCTATTTCTTAACAGTTCAAAATTCTCAATTCTTGTCACCATAGAAACCACACCCTGATTACCATGTGTGCATTAATTTTCATCTTGGACTCCCAGTCAACTGACCTGCTCAAGTTTCTTGCTTGCTTCCAATGCCTTTCTAGAATGTTGCTTTTGTCGTGCTTGCTCCAAACGAGACAAACTTTGGATGATTTTCACAGCACCATATTTGCTTTGAAGTTGTTGCTGACAAGCTTCCAAATCCAAAGTTAAATTTTCAATTTCCTAAAAGTCGAGAAAACAAGTTCATGTAATTGAGCCTCACAGTAAATAAACAACAAAGATCTTTCCATAATCTGTATTGTAAATTAAATAAATTTGCTGAACAACCCTTTTTCTTAAGTTTGTATACTGTATCAGGGTGAGTAAGCAAAAAGTATGCCACTACGGGGTTTTGCTAAAAGCAGACCCGCAGCCCATGGGCAGTGATGGCCCAGTGGCCCATGACCTGCAATGGCCCGGAAGCCCAGAGGCCCGGTGGCCCAGTCCTGATTTTCCACAGTTTTTTAGCCTAGCGGTAAAATCCACGTGCATGCACAGATCTGCATCGGGTTTGGGCGTGCAAAATGGATGACAGTGAGTTTGAATTCGTCTACCACTAAATCATTTGAATCCTTGTTTCTATTTGTTGCATGTTGTTCAGATAAAAACGCTTTCATTCTCTGTTCATTTGTCTCTTTACAGAAACCAATAGCACAATAGAGGACTTTCATTATCGAATGATGTAAGTTATTTTCAAACCATACTTTGAAAGTGAAAATATCATATACTCATTATTTAGCTTATAAAATTTTCAATCTCAAACTGTGGTTTGAAAATAACTTACATAATTTGAGAATGGACTTCCTCTCTATCGGGTTCTGTAAACAGACGAATAAACAGAGAATGACAATGTTTTTCACTTAGCAACATGCAACGAAAGAAAGGATCAAAAAGGATTGAAATGATTATTACAATGGTAAACAAATTCAAAATCACCATCGTCCATTTTGCACACCCAAACCCAATGCAGATCTGTGCATGTGCGTTGATTTACCGCTGGACAAAAAAACTGTGGAAAATCAGGACTGGGCCACCAGGCCTCTGGGC